TGATTGGTGAAAGGAGAAGAGAGTTTGGATAGCTGCCTGAGAGATATGTGTTAATATGTGTCTGAGTCTGTGGGATTTTACTGGCAAGATTAGCACCAACCGATGAAAAGAAACTATTAAATTCATTTGCCATTTCTAAATCAGTTGACGGTATATCCCCATCCTTGTAGAGTTTTATTTGGTTATGTGAGTGTTGTTTAGTTCCTAGGATACTAGAGATAGTTTTCCAAGTGCTTTTCATGTTGCCTTTTGCTTCATTGAATCTATTCACATAATATGCAAGTTTTGCCTTTCTTATGATACTGGTAAGCATTGATGAGTACCTTTTAGCTACTTCCTTTGAAACTAGGCCAATCCTAACTTTCTTTTCATATTCATGTTTCTTGTTGATTGAGTTGAGAATGCCACTTGTGAGCCATGGATTGTTTAATCTTTTGTCAGTTACTTGCTTGGTAAGAAGGGGACAATGAAGGTTGTAGAGGCTTAGAGTTTTGGAGAGGAAGAGGTTAGCTAATGAATTTATATCATGGGTATAATTGAATTCAGAATCCCAGTTAATATTGTGAAGTGCCTCTGTAAGATTGTCTAAAGCTGATTCACTGTGTAGCCTAAATGAAAGTTTCTTGCTTTTTGGTGGTGTTATGTCCATGTTCGCTATGAGAAAGGTAGGATAGTGGTCAGTTGTTCTGTCGTAGATTATACCAGATACAAGGGGAGCTGTTATGTTTGTCCATATGTGGTCCAAGGTAGTGGCTGATGTTTGAGTGACTCGGGTAGGTTTGGTGATTGTGGGGATTAGCATACAGGTGTTCATGCTGTTAAGGAAATAGTCAACTTGAGAGCAATTTTGTTAACCCAGGTCAATATTAAAGTCTCCTCCCAGAATGATGTGGTTTTTGTTGAGATTGTTGTTTATAATAAGATTCCTTAGGTTGTCTGAGAAAGAAGCTATGTTAGTATTGGGAAATCTATAGATGGCTCCAATAGTCAAAGAGGATTTAAGGGATTTAATTGTAAACTGAGGAAAAGTATATTCACAGTAGTCATCTCTGTCACTAATAACACTGTTGCAGATAAATGCATCTCGGTAATATATAGCTGTGCCACCACCTTTTTTATTAGGCCTACAGTTATGAATGGCTTTATAACCAGCTAAGTTGTAGACTAACTAAGACTAACTATACTTACTAAGCTCTCTCATCTCATTTTTCTCTTGCAATGTATCTTTATCATTTATCAATTCTGATAGAAATTACCTACTTAAAATTATCTGCTAGATTAAGGACCTGCCCGAAACGCTGCGCGTACTAGTGGCTTTACAAGAATGTAAATACTGTACTATCCAATGTATTCTCACAAACCCAATGTACTTTCTTGTATATATATAAATAAAATAAATAAAATAAAATAAATAAAGTCTAGTGCCTGACCCCCCCCTCCACTATAGCATTAGTCTAGAGCCTGACCCCCCCCTCCACTATAGCATTAGTCTAGAGCCTGACCCCCCCCCCCCTCCACTATAGTATTAGTCTAGTGCCTGACCCCCCTCCACTATAGCATTAGTCTAGAGCCTGACCCCCCCCTCCACTATAGCATTAGTCTAGAGCCTGACCCCCCCCCCTCCACTATAGCATTAGTCTAGTGCCTGATCCCCCCCCCCTCCACTATAGCATTAGTCTAGTGCCTGACCCCCTCCCCCTCCACTATAGCATTAGTCTAGAGCCTGACCCCCCCCCCTCCACTAGAACATTAATCTAGAGCCTGACCCCCCCCTCCACTATAGCATTAGTCTAGTGCCTGACCCCCCCTCCACTATAGCATTAGTCTAGTACCTGACCCCCCCCCCCCCACTAGAACAATAATCTAGAGCCTGACCCCCCCCTCCACTATAGCATTAGTCTAGTGCTTGACCCCCCCCCCCCCTCCACTATAGCATTAGTCTAGTGCCTGACCCCCCCCCCCTACTATAGCATTAGTCTAGTGCCTGACCCCCCCCCCTCCACTATAGCATTAGTCTAGTGCCTGACCCCCCCCCCCCCTCCACTATAGCATTAGTCTAGTGCCTGACCCCCCCCCCTCCACTATAGCATTAGTCTAGTGCCCCCCCCTGCATTAGTCTAGTGCCCCCCCCCCTCCACTATAGCATTAATCTAGTGCCTGACCCCCCCCCCCCCCCTCCACTATAGCATTAGTCTAGTGCCTGACCCCCCCCTCCACTATAGCATTAGTCTAGTGCCTGACCCCCCCCTCCACTATAGCATTAGTCTAGTGCCTGACCCCCCCCCTCCACTATAGCATTAGTCTAGTGCCTGTCCCCCCCCCTCCACTATAGCATTAGTCTAGTGCCTGTCCCCCCCCCTCCACTATAGCATTAGTCTAGTGCCTGACCCCCCCCCCTCCACTATAGCATTAGTCTAGTGCCTGACCCCCCCCCCCCCCACTATAGCATTAGTCTAGTGCCTGACCCCCCCCCCCCTCCACTATAGCATTAGTCTAGTGCCTGACCCCCTCCCCCTCCACTAGAGCATTAGTCTAGTGCCTGACCCCCCCAAGAACCTCTCAGAATGATTCCATTCTTATTCAAGCACTTACCCATTCCCTCTTAATAATCTTGTGCTGGCCTAAGTGGCTTCTAGTTTTGCATAGTCTTCAGTCATGGGCTGCCTGATGGAATATCCTGATTTTCACCATGATTGGAAATTTTGCTTTCACAATTTCCCTCCGAGTCGTTTGTCCCTTAAACAAAAACCTCGGTGAATCTGGTACGTTTGATAGTGAAAAATTGTTTTCCTGGCATAACACTTTGGCTTGTTAATTATTTGCGCTATTTAGGCAGCCTGTCCTCTCGAGTGTTTAAAAAAGCCACTACACTAATGAACTAAATTGCTCGAACCAAATCGAGGATCCACAAATAGAAAATGGTACATCACGTCAATTTTGAGAGCCGCTATCATTTCTAGCACATTTTACATTGACGTTGGGAATTTTTACATCGAAATACGATGTGTTATGCGAGAAGACAGGTTGGTTTAGAAATACTGTATATGCAGTTTGTACTGCACTTGTTGCAGACATGCATTAGTGATAATGCACTGTTTGGTAACAAATAATTCTTTATATGGAAATGATTTACTTGGTATGGTTTATTTTACATATAATATCTAAGTGGGTACTGTGCTATTTTGAAAGATAGCAGTGAGGATTACATGTTAGCAAACAGCGCAGTAGCATAGCGACAACCACAATGATCTCGAAACCAATTGGTTAAGAAGATATATACCGAAAGGCATACTACAGTATACTTGCTGGTTGGTCAGTACACTATTGTGGTGACCTTGAACACCAAGCCAGTCATCTATTATGCACACTTAAGTGTTTTTTATAGTACAGGGCTTGAGGCTTCTCAGCCATGGGATTGTTATCTAGGTAAACACAACAGTTTGCTATCTGATCATCAGGTATACCTAATGCCTGAAAATAGTTCAGGAATAAAGTATAATCTTGGAGTACTTTCCTAGCAGTGACTACGGGGTAGTGAGGTCTCTTGCACTTTATGCCCCGCCTACTAGCCATGTTGTACCCGTTGCATTAAAGCTTGTATATAGAGTACAAGCTTTACAATCAAGTGTATATACAAGACAAGTACACCTTTCTGTGTATATATATCTTTGTCTCTTGGTTTGATTTGGTACTGTATTGGGCTAAAGGCCTGTCAGCTTCTGGAGGGTTATTAAGACCCCCAACAATTATCTGACCAATTTGGAAGATTATTTTAGTCCTGAACATAGTCCAGAACTAATATAAACCCCCCCTAAGTGTATACACTAATAAGAGGGGTAAACCTCTTGGTATTCCTGTCTAGATCCATTCTGTAATTAGCTATAACCAGTATTATCGAGGAGCTACTTCAGAGCTTGATCACTGATAATTATAATTATATAATTAAATTATTAATATATTTGGTGGGTTAGGACTTTTTAGCAATTATTAAAAAAACCTAAGTTGTACTTTTTCTTAACAAGTGACGATTTCTTTCAAGCATGTATAACAGGGATGGAAAGCATCTCATGGGTGCTGGAAGGCATATAAACTTGCTCGTTTTGCTCCATATTAAACATAATTTCATGACTTTTACACATATGCGTGAAAAGTCTGACCAGCCACTAAAGTTCACCGCGAGTTGAACCACTTCCAAAGTACAAAATGCGGGCAATGATAAAATATAAATTTAACCGAATAGTAATACAAACTCAATATCGATTAATTTGAAAATGTCTTCAAGCAGTTTTGAGAGTTGATAATGCATGTTCTAATGGTAAATGTGACTGTGAACTGTGTGAATGAGCGCCGACTGTACTGCAGGTGTGACCATTAACTGTAGATGTGAGTGTTAATCTGTGTAAACAGGAGAATGAAGATGAAATATAATTTAGAGTAGTTTCCAAGAACTTCACATTGAAATTTTCTTTAAATCATCTTTCGAGCAAGTAATTTAGGCTATAACCTAGTTATTTTCATATATTTATTTATTTATATACAAAAATTACATTGGATTTGTGACAGTACATAACATTGGTGGTCTTATATTGTTGCAAAACTAACACGCATAGCGCTTTGGGCAGTTTCCATCTGTGGCAACCTAATACCAACACAGTGGAAAGAAATTTTGACAACAATTTCATCAACATTTGTTGATTTATACATTGTCATCAGCACCTGTTTGCTTCTCCTCTGATGTCAGCACAAAGTACAGTACTGAGATCAGAGGAACGCACTTGTTTGCTGTACTGATGCTATGATCTAACTCATAGCCTCATCTGTATGCTGTGATGATGATATTAGTTTTGAATATTACAAATAAATATTTGATTCATTTGTTCATATTAAATGTATTCAGAATGCAACAATATCATTTACTGCCTACAAGACCAAAATTATTTCAAATCTAAGGTAGAGATAATGAATATGGTACCAAAGGATGTGGAATTTAAATATATGTCATTGATTTATTATTATTATTATTAAAGTGCAAAATAATCATTTATCTGAAAAAGTATATTGACCAACAGATCACAATCTCTGAAGACTACGACAATTGGTCCTGGACGTAAGGTGGCCTCATCCTTTGAAGTGATACCTGCAAGTCACCAGTCCTGGAAATACAAGACACGACATCAGACAATGTATGTACTGCACGTGCCACCTCTTGGATGGCATTCACGTTCAAGCAAAAGTTCACTACGGGTTCACAATAGCCCATGCTACTTGGCACTTTTATTCCGAGTAGCTGAATCCAAAACAGCATTAAGTACGTTTGAGAATAAACGTACTTAATGCATTTTGGTTTTGCACCTATCAACCTAGGGAGGATTATTAAGGCTGCACAATAGCTTACTGTCTAACCAGCAAGTATACTATAGTCTTGGACTAAAGTAAACTCAGCATAAATACACCATGAAGTTTGATACACCTGTGTACACAGTATATTCCTGTACGTACATCGAGTGATGAAGATTAAGTCCCGTGCCACCTCATGGGTGGCTTTCAGGATCAAGTATGTTTATTGAAACTATAAAATACATCTTAAAAGGATAGAGTAATGTAGGCTATTTCTACCCTTGTGGTCACTGGGGTAGAAATAGCCTACATTACTCTATCCTTTTGAGATGTATTTTATAGTCTCAATAAACGTACTTGAACTTGAAAGCCACCCATGAGGTGGCACGGGTTTCATCTTCATCACTCGATGTACGTACAGGAATATACTGTGTACACAGGTGTATCAAACTTCATGGTGTATATACGCTGAGTTTACATTAGTCCAAGACTATATACTTGCTGGTTAGACAGTAAGCTATTGTGCTGCCTTAATAATCCTCCCTAGGTTGATAGGTGCAAAATGCATAAGTTAGTTATTTCAAATACATTCATTTTATCGAGATGCTCTGATAAAACGTTTCATTTCTTTACGTAAATGTTAGACAATTGCAAGAAGAATTAAACTAAAGATTATGAATCTTGTGCACGATCCTCATTTTGTATATATTCCATAATTTGTTAAGTTTGAAAGCATTCATAAACCTCAAAGCACACACCCCATCATAAACCTCAAAGCAAATGTACCCCCCCATAAACCTCAAAGCAGACACCCCCCTCATAAACCTCAAAGCAAACACCCCCCTCATAAACCTCAAAGCAAACAACCCCCATAAACCTCAAAGCAAACACCCCCCTATAAACCTCAAAGCAGACCCCCATAAACCTCAAAGCAAATGTACCCCCTCAAAGCAAACAACCCCCTCATAAACCTCAAAGCAAACACCCCCCTATAAACCTCAAAGCAGACCCCATAAACCTCAAAGCAGACTCCTCGAGGGAGGTGTGCATTGAGGTTTATGAGGGGGGTGTCTGCTTTGAGGTTTATGAGGGGGGTGTCTGGTTTGAGGGGGAGGGGGTGTTAGACACCCCCCTATAAACCTCAATGCATACCTCCCTTGAGGGGTCTGCATTGAGGTTTATGAGGGGTGTGTGCTTTGATTTGAGGTTTATGAGGGGGGGGGGGTTAAATCCCCACCTCATAAACCTCAAAGCAGACCCCCCTCCCCCATAAACCCAAAGCAGACCCCCCTCCCCATAAACCTCAAAGCAGACCCCCCCCATAAACCTCAAAGCAAACACCCCCCCCCCCCATAAACCTCAGACACCCCAACACCCATAAACCTCAATGCAGACCCCTCGAGGGAGGTCTGCATTGAGGTTTTTGAGGGGGGGTCTGCTTTGAGGTTTATGAGGGAGGTGTGCAATGAGGTTTAGGGGGGGTGTGCTTTGAGATTTATGAGGGGGTGTCTAACACCCCCCCCCCCCCCCCATAAACCTCAAAGCAATCCCCCTCGAGGAAGGTCTGCTTTGAGGTTTATGAGGGGGGGGGAAGAGTGTCTGCTTTTGAGGTTCATGAGAGGGGGGTTAGACCCCCACCCCCCATAAACCTCAATGCCAACCCCCTCAAGGGGAGGTATGCTTTGAGGTTTATACCGACCCCCCTCAAGGGGAGGTATGCTTTGAGGTTTATACCGACCCCCCTCAAGGGGAGGTATGCTTTGAGGTTTATACCGACCCCCCTCAAGGGGAGGTATGCTTTGAGGTTTATACCGACCCCCCTCAAGGGGAGGTATGCTTTGAGGTTTATGAAGAGTGTCTCCGCTTTGAGGTTTATGAAGAGTGTCTCCGCTTTGAGGTTTATGAAGAGTGTCTCCGCTTTGAGGTTTATGAAGTGTGTCAGCTTTGAGGTCTATGATGGGGTGTATGTGTGTGCTATGTGGTGTAGATGTATGCTTCGAGATATGCTGGTAAAAGCCAAAGCATTATAAAGACGTAAGAACAATGCTGTACATATGCCTTTGTTCTCACGTACAGTGTACATCACACAGCTTTACTCGTGCAGAATAATACAGTATTCAATAAATACATCACTGTCTTAGGTCAGTTGCTTAATTTAGAACCTGTAGTTGAGGTCGATCCCAACCCATTGTTGATGTGACGACTTATATTGAATTTTGTAACTAGCTCATCAAGATTGTAACTTGCTTAGCTAAATGAACTGTGGGGTTCAGTCCCTGAGCCCATTATGTGCCTCTGTAACCCTTTCCACTACTGCCCACAAGATGGGTATGGGGTGCATAATAAATGAACTAAACTAAAAAAAAAACTGTCTTAGACATATGTTGATACAACATTCAGTAAGAATTCTACAAAATTGAAAGTTTTAAGAAAAACTCACCAAAAATTACGAGAGAAATTAGGCCGAATCTTCCCGAATTATGTCTTGCAAGCAGCGGCACTGTATCCTGCAACACAAATAAATATTTATTCCACACGGTTCTTTAATTTACAAGAATGTTGTGTAAAAACTTGCTAGTGTACTCCCCAATGTATGGTTGTGTAGTATTTCCCGGTGTATGTCTTCAGAGTTTGGTAGACATAACCTGATAAATATATTAAAAAAATGTTGTTAGCCCACTAATTGAACATTTAACTAGCTAAACTAATTTTTACAATTAAGATTCACAATGATTATAAAAGCGTTAGTGGAAGAACAATTTCCCATATGTATCGATAGTCCTAGATTAGCTAGTCTTAATATTGTTATATATAACCTAGTCATAATAATTACAGGTTTACAGATCATTGTAGTCTTACTATAGCTATGCTAATTGTGACTTCACTGTACACAAATATCTTTTTTATATAACTGTACCTGTATATTGCATCATCCAGTTATTTTCAAAGTTACTACTGTAGAGTGATTTTTTGTGTGAATAAAGACTATGATTATTTCTAGTTTTCTTTGACATTATTGAAATTATTAAAAATAAGAAAAACATAATAATTAACTTACCTTCAGTGAGGCTAATGACTTCGGAGTTGTTGGTAGACTTGGCAATATCCAGTGGTGTCCTTTCTGTGGAGAGTACAGGATGAGTATACACGGAAAAGTATAGGTAAGTATACACTGCCTGCAAAGAGTATTAAAGGATTTCTATCTGCTTCTGGAGAACATAATGTGAGCGTGGGAGCTATATTCCTATACAGAACGTTAAGTGGATTGTCTCTATAGAAGCAGGACATCGCCTTAAGTTTTACAAGTCAAAAATCACAGGAAACAACAACTTTAAACAACAGAATTTACTTTGCTTAATGGCTTACACTGCCAAAGAAAATATTTGTGAATTGTTTAACTTCATTCTTCCACGAAATAATTTTTTATTAAGAAATTTTATTGTCAAAAATTATGTATAATTAATCTTTTTTTATAAAATCTGTATAAAATAAAGGTAATGTAAATGTGTATTCGTACATCAAGAGCCATCTATGTTAAAGATGTCCATCATTGATAAATAAAAAATATATAAAAAAACCATTATAACCACTATTTATATATATTGTATAAAAATAAGTAAATCACAGTGAATTTACTTTTAAGTAAATGTAGACATGAAGTAACTAGGTATCTCTTGACTTTGATAACACCTAGGTCTACCTAGGGGTTAGGTCAGCCTTAGGCTTACCTACTGAAAGTTTGGTCAATCAAGGTTGACCTAGGATAGCTTAACTATGGCTTACCTCTCTTATCCTTGAGTGTTATATCGGGACAAGCGTTCAGCAGCTTCTTGATGACGGCCACCCATTTTTTTCTCACAGCCAGATGCAAGCTTGTAGAACCTGGGGGGGGGGGGGAGATGTTTATAAATATTAAAACATCAATAAGAAAGAAATGTATTCACCAATGCATAATTTACCTCAATATTGTTTATTATAGTTTCTAGTGATTCATACTCTCAGTACCCTGATTACCCTGATCTATGTAGGCCTACTTTACGTGTAATTATTTATTACTTTAAATGAGGAGACTTGGATCAGTGAGATTATTTCCTTCTCCTTCGTGCAGAAGGTCTTTTAGAACAGTGGGCTTCATTCTCGGCTCTGTCTCGGGTAGCCCGGATACGACTCCCAGGTGAGACAAATGAGTGAGAACATTTCCTTTGCTTAATGCCTCTATTCACATAACAGTAAATATGTACCTGGGAGTTACACAACTGTTATGGGTTGAATCTTGTTGAGTCAGTAGTTTGATCTCGGGGCGACCGCGATATAATCTAAAGTGTATAATGCAAGTGTATAATCCCATGTATATGCATGGGATTCCTGTCTTCGACAAAATGAATTATATTAACGGACGACGACCAGCAGGAGACTACAGAACGTTGTTGAAACAATTACTAGCAATGCCTTAAATATGACCAACTGGTCATGTGGTCGTGATCTGACATAATGGTCTGGACAAAATGGTGACCAGCAGACTTTGAGGTCAAGCAGAGGACTATACATGGCAGTGTTTGTACACAAATTACCCTTTTGTCGTAATAAATGAATCTAATGATTCTGATCTGGAGTCCAGTAGACTCTCAACCAGTCAGTCGTGGGTTCGATTTCTGGCCAAAACAAGACAGTTTCGTGTTGACCTCAAGGCCTATCAATTTTGCCACCTTAATAATTATAACTGCGTTTCTGCCCGAAACGCTTTGCGTAATAGTGGCTTTAGGCATTGTATGTACTAGCTCTATCTATTAATCCAACAAACTTTGTAAAATCTCTTTATGTATGTACCTTACCTAAATAAACATTTATTTATTATTTATTTATAACAGTTAAGAGAGTCACAAATTCTAAACCAATTCATCATAATTCTATCAAAGTCACTGGTTGTCAGTTCTATTCGTTCTCGAGTTATGTTTGGTTTTCTAAAATAATTAGTTTATAGATTTTCCCATTCTATTATCTTCACTCTTTAAATCCTAGGACCTAGGTACTCTAGTCACCACCCATTGCACTTAAAATCGATATCCACAGCAGACCACTAAGCAAAGTCAGTCAATGGTTCCATCAGTTCCTCCGGTTTCATGGTACCTCACCAGTTTTTCAGCCAGAGTATACAGTACTCTCCCCAGTCATTGATTCTAGAAAACTACTCAGTTTTCAAGGTATTTCACTTATTCCTCTAACTCACCAGTTCTCAAGGAAACCCATCAGATCCAGTAATTACTAACCAGGAAAATACACAACTCTCATCAACTTAGAAAAAAAAACATTTTTCAAGTCATCAGTAAAGTTACAAGTCAAACACCCACCGCTTAAATAAGACTGAAATGACTACCATTCAGAGGGACAGCAAGAGGATTAAGGCTTGAGCAGATATACTCCTGCAAAATAAAAAGTTATTAAAAAAGAAATGCTGTTTCTAAAACCAACCAGATGTATCCTGATGATTCACATTAGCACCGGAAGCAAGGAGTTTGGTGACCAAGCCAGTGTGACCTTCCGTCGCTGCTAGGGTCAGTGCTGTAAATCCTGTAAACAATAACGAACGTTTAATCCGAGAATCTATTACCCTGTATAGTAAATATTTATATTTCAAACTTTTTATGGTAGTCTGCTATACAAATCTAGTAACAATTTATTAATAAACTTAGCACAATGATAGTCCAACACCAAAAAGCTCTAAGACGGTTATTAAGGCAACCACAATAGATTACCAAGCAGTAAATATACATTACTTTAATCTGGAACATAGTTTAAGCAAAGGTTAAATCTCTCTGAATATACACCAAAAAGCAAAAATATAAATACACCTTGCAGTATATATATATATTCATTCTGTCCTGACGGTTTATGTATATCTCAAGATATATAACAAACCTGTTTATATACCAGGAACATATAGCCAAAATGTGTCTCAGAATTCCATACATGTATAAATGATTTTCTAAAATAAATTACCATTTTTGTTTTGGAGATTCACATCAGCTTTACTGCTAATCAAGGAGTCGACAATCTTGGGATAATTGTAGTAAGCTGCTTTTTGTAAAACAGTATACCCTGTAAGGAGGAGAGTAGTGAGTAAAGAGACACTTTTCCAAACCCCCGCACATTCCACACCCACTATGTTGTATTCACACAAATATTGATTGACCACCGATGTGCTCAATGTATATAAAAAAGTTTACATCTGTTCAAAGACATTTTTGAAATATAGACAAAATCATGAAAAATCTTGTTTCTGTTTTCCTCTGAGCTTGCAAGTAATTATCAAAAGAAGGCACCAAGCCGGGAAGACTATGTAGCATCCTGTATAATGAAGCAGAATTGATCATCTTTCTGTACAATAAAGCAGAACTGACCATCTTTCTCCTGTATGTTGGGGTCAGCTCCAGCCTTCAGCAAGGCCTTAACAATATCATGGTGGCCCCAGTAGGTGGCCGAGTGGAGCGGAGTCACGCCTGCAATTGAAAATATATTATCAGTCAAGTCGTTACAGGAAAGTTAAGGTAGTTCCCACCCACCCCCCCACCCTCCCAAGAACAACAACCAGCATAATAAAATATACAATCGGTTCACCTTGTAATGATTGTAATTATAAATTATTCCTATGTATTTTGACTGAACAAAAATGACTGCCTGTGTTGTTGAGGCCAAACGTGTTATTCTAACATTTGGTTAACTTTCATTTACTAAAAATTTAACTCAAAGTATCTATGCCATTTAAAGTATTTTATTTCATCTATGAAATAATTTTTCTTGGGAAATTTCCCAAGAAAATTTGGGAACAGTACTGAACACTTCTCAATCTTGTCCAGAGCCAAATTTTAAACTAATTAAAACCTTAATAAACTCATTTGACAGAATAAGGCAACCTTCAGAAGGCGAAGATTTGCTGTTCCGGAAACAACTTGAGTAAAGCACGAATGAAATTATCTTTGGGGAACATTATGAGACATGAAAAGCCATCCACCTTATGCCTTATTCAAAAGAAAACCCAAAAAGTACCTAATTTTAAACCTCATAGTTTCCTACCAGGTGCTTCAAACTCACACTGTATCTTGTGCTATCCACTCCCCAAAATATGTGCCTAAGCCTTACAACTTCACCACTGCAATCACTGCCATCATCTTATATCATGGGTGTTATGTTGAATGCAAATTTTACTACACTGCACCTAGAAATAATCATCAAATTATGCTACAATGTACCTGTCGATAATCATAAAATGTCATAGTAATGTACCTAATAATTTTCTTTAAATTTTCTTGCAGTGAACCTATTACCATTTTTCAATTTTGCTACAAATTATCTCTCTCTGAGAGAGAGAGAGAGAGAGAATAGCACATATACTTTGCTAAGAGGCAAACTGAAGGAGTTAAGAAATGCAGAAAGATTAAAAAATGCACAGCTAAAGATCAGGAGAGGGCAGGGCAGACTGCAGACGGGGAAGAAGTCAAAACCCCTTACCCAGTCGTCAAAACCCCTTACCCAGTCAGGCAGAACTAAATCTATATATATCTTGAATGACAAAAGCAGAAGGTTGTGGGTTTTGAACCAGAGCTCAGAACCTGAGTAGAAATGTACAGAATAGTAATGTGCTAAATACATGAACTAAATATAGAAATCTCATCCCCCTTCCAGGAATAATGTCAGGAGTTAAAGTTGTTTCTACAGCAATGCCAGAAGCCTAGTAAATGAATTTGACTCATTATGTACATTTACTGAGGCTGAAAATCCTAACACCATTGGCATCAGTGAAACCTGGAGCCAAGAGGACATAACAGAAGGGGAATTCTATCTCCGAGGTTACCACCCACCATTCAGAAAGGGAAGAACAACATGGGCAGGCTGGGTAATACTGTCTGCATCATGTATGTACTGCCTGAAATGCTATACGTGCTAGTGGCTTTACAAGAATGTAAAAACATCGATGCTATGTACTCTCATAACCCCCAATGTACCTTCATGTACATAAATAAATTAATAAATAAATAAATGTGAAAGAGTACCTGGATGCTACCAACAATGAGGAACTTAACACCATGGGTTTCTCAGAGTCTGTATGGTGCAACATACTAACTCAGGATAGTGGCAAAATGACTATGGGAGTATGTCACAGGGCTGACATGGCAGCAACAGAGAAAATTACGGATCTGCATGTGATCTATGCAGCATCTGAAACCCATACCCTAATAATGGGGAACTTTATCCACGAACTTTATTAGAGGGGCTGGTCCCAAACCTGCACACATATATAACATCACATGAGACCAGAAGACATGGCAGGATGTGCAGAATACCCCCGTTGAAAAACGGAGGTGCAACAGGTACTCTGAGAGAGAACTCTATCAACATCAGAGGCCCGAGACTGTTCAACACGCTTCCGCTACACATAAGGGGCATAACTGGAAATCCCCTCACAGTGTTCAAGAAAGAACTGGATAAGCATCTCCAAAGGATACCTGATCAACCATGCTGTGACTCATACGTCAGGCTGCGAGCAGCCGCGTCCAACAGCCTGGTTGATCAGTCCAGCAACCAGGAGGCCTGGTCGACGACCGGGCCGCGGGGACGCTAAGCCCCGGAAGCACCTCAAGGTAACCTCAAGGTAAGGTAGACCATAGATTGGATCAATCTAACATCACAAGCAGAAGATGAACAATTTCTCAACCTTGTGCAGGACTCTTTCTCATACAGCATGTGGTAACAGTATTCTAGATCTTGTGCTGATTACAGAAAAGGATATGATTAATCAAATTCATGTGGTGGAAAAGCTAACCCTCTCGTGCATCCACCATATTTTAAGATGTACTACGAATATATAAACCCCATTTAAAGGTCAAAGGTGAAGAATTTCTAGATTACCAGCGAGGAGACTATCAAGGAATGAGAGAGGAACTGCAAACTATTTCTTGGAGGGAGCTGATGGGTGAACATGGCACGGAAGCATCATGGCAAAATGTCAAGAGGGTCATTAAGGAACTCATTCAAAAACATGTGCTGAAAAGAAGAGAGACAAGAAAAGGAACTCGATGGATGACACAGGTTGTAAAACAAGCATTGGTAACGAAGAGGAACCTCTGGAGAACATATAAATCCACAATGGACGTCATTGATTATGAGTTACACAAAAAGGCACTACAGTATACTCGGTCACTCAGAAAATCAGATCAGCCAAAAGAAACTACAAAAGAAAAATTGCCCAAAACATAAAGAAAGATCCAAAATCGTTCTATGCCTATATAAGAAGTAAAACCAAAACAAACAACTCGGTTGGACCCTTAATAGATCAGACTAACCAAGCTATAATGGATGATAAAAGGGCAGCAAACACACTAAATGATTATTTTACATCAAAGTTCACACTCAAAAAATTGGACGACATCCTATCACCCACACAAATGTTTGAAAGAGGGAAGGAAAATGAATTTAGGGATATACCCATAACATGCAAGATAATTAGATTGAACATTGACAAACTAAAAGACTCTAAAGCCCCAGGTGTGAATGGAATCTAGTCAAAAATCTTTAAGGAACTGGCAGAAGAACTGTGCCTGCCGCTATTCACAAAATCCCTGGAACTAGAGTAGTCCCCCTAGATTAGAAATATGCCAATGTCACCCGTATTTTCAAAAAAAGGCAGAGAGAGAACTCAGCAGAAAACTACCAGCCGATCAGCTTGATATCACACATCTGCAAGCTCATGGAGAGCTTGCAGATGGGAGTAATAACTTGCAGAGTACGTAATTACTCTGGGAAGGAGTAATTCACCATCTTTCAGTGAACAACCTTGTACAATCAACACAACACGGATTTGTTAAAAACAGATTCTGACTTACAAATTTGCTCACATTTTTGGAAAAGGTAACCAGCTAACCAGTTACTCAGACAAAGGCCTTCCAGTGGCTATAGTATACTGTACATATACTATACTGTATATGTACAGGTGGCTATAGTATACTGTACATATACTATACTGGCTATAGTATACTGTGCTCTCTAGAGTGGAGTACTGCTGCACAATGACAGCCCCTTCCTAAGCTGGAGAAATTGCTGACCTGGAGAACGTGCAGAGATCCTTTACTGCTAGAATCCACTCAGTAAAACATCTAAACTATTGGGACCAACTAAAGAGCCTAAATCTGTACTCCCTTGAGCGCAGGTGGGAGAGATACATAATAATTTACACGTGGAAAATATTAGAGGGGCTGGTCCCAAACCTGAACACAGAAATAACATCACATGAGACCAGAAGACATGGCAGGATGTGCAGAATACCCCCGTTGAAAAGCGGAGGTGCAACAGGTACTCTGAGAGAGAACTCTATCAACATCAGAGGCCCGAGACTGTTCAACATGCTTCCACTACACATAAGAGGCATAACTGGCCGACCCCTCACAGTGTTCAAGAGAGAACTGGATAAGCACCTCCAAGGGATACCTGATCAACCAGGCTGTGACTCATACGTCAGGCTGCGAGCAGCCGCGTCCAACAGCCTGGTTGATCAGTCCTGCAACCAGGAGGCCTGGTCGACGACCGGGCCGCGGGGACACTAAGCCCCGGAAGCACCTCAAGGTAACCTCAAGGTAAGGTACATGGATTTTACTAAAGCTGTTGATAAGGGACCACATAAAAGACTGGCAAGGAAATTACAGGCCCATGGAATAAATGGTAAAATATTAGAATGGATAAAATAATGGTTGAGGGAAAGAAAACAAAGGGTCGTGCTAAATGGAAATGAATCAGAATGGAAAAATGTGCTAAGTGGGGTGCCACAAGGGTTCATTCTGGGACCTACCCTTTTTGTCATATACATCAATGACAGATGAGAATATTACAAACCACATCATCAAATTTGCAAATGACATGAATATTTACGGTAAAGAGGGAAATGATAACGATATTGAAGCCTAACAAAGAGATCTACATGAACTCCACAAATGGCTAGAAGACTGGCAAATGCTCTTTATTATCAACAAATGCAAGACCATACATGTGGGGCATAACAACCCACGCCACAACTACCAAATTAATAGCATTACCTTACAGCAGATTGATGAAGAAAAAGGACCTTGGAGTTAAGATCCATCACTCATTAAAAATTGCATAACAGGTGGATGCAGCAGTCAGAAAAGCTAACCAAACTCTCTGTATATTCAAGCGTACTTTTGACTAAAGTAAAGAAGGTAATGGTTTAACTGTATAAATCTCTGGTGCGCCCTCACTTAGATTACTGTATCCAAGCATGGAGACCTCATTTCCAGATGGACATAGCTGCTCTGGAGAAGGTGCAACACCGGGCAACAAAAGTCACTCCAGAGCTAAGTTGTCTCTTGTATCAGGAACACTTGAAGGCCACAGGACTAACAACACTACAAACCAGGCATGACAGGGCAGATCTCATTGAAACTTTTAAAATACTAAACAAGTTAGAGGATGTTGATCTAGATAATTTCTTCAGAAGGTATGATGTAAATCAAATAAGGAGCAACGGTTTCAAGCTCAACAAGCCACAATGTAGGACTGAGAACAGGAGATGCTTTTTCCCCCCACAGGGTTATTAAGCCATGGAGCAGCCTATCCACCGAAGCCGTAACTTCCAAAACTGTGCTGAATTTCAAAATACAGTATACCTGGAAAAGATCTAGGCAAATGGGGGCCTTCGACAAGCCGCCAGCTTTCTGTCCTCATCGAGGCCACTAGGGTTAGTGGCCCTCAGGTAAATTGGATAAATATATATTTATATTTAACAATAAAGGGACTTCCTCACCAAAGACATGGGAATCAAATTAAGCATACATATTATTATTATATTTGTGAATCCTGTTCCCTGAATCTATTATACAAAATTACCATGTATAAAACTAGCGAACTGTTCTGTATAAAGTAATCAAAAACTATGCTGCAATCTTGTAGATATTTTTAATGGTTTCCTGGGTGAAACTGGCATATGCATTTCTTTGGGCCAGAAAAATACTGCAAGCCGTTTTTGATAATGATAGAAACATGCACTTGACCAAGTGTTGCTAATATTTAAAATAAGTCTGCGATTCCCAGAAATGTATGAATGTTCATATTAGTCTTAGCTTGCATGAGATACTCCAAGGGATCTTGAATGTGGAGCCTAATCTTAACTTCTACGAGACTTACCCCAGGAGGTCTGGATGTTTGGGTTACCATTAGCTTCTAAAATACTCTGCACAATTTTCAAGCTGCCCATCTTGGCCGCAACATACAGTGCAGAGTAATCTGAAAACGATGGACAACAGAATTAATCTAGAGTTGAAAGGCTATTGAAGCAACACACATTATAAACCCTCATATATCGACAGTTGTAGATTGTAGGTCTTAGACCAGGGCTTTTCAACCAGTGTGTTGTGAAGGGTCGACAGGCAGGCCGCCGGTGTTTGAAGGAAGGTGAAAATAACAAGCGTGCCAAGGCTGGCACACTTGAGAAGGTGGTGGAGGCCAAGACCGTCAGTAGTTTCAAAGCGTTATATGACAAAGAGTGCTGGGAAGATGGGACACCACGAGCGTAGCTCTCATCCTGTAACTACACTTAGGTAATCACTTAGGTAATTACTTGCAGACTCATGAGTCTACAGCCTGGCAGCCACAGCCTGCCACACCCACTACTCTAACATTTGGCCTAACACACTGCAACATATAGGAGGGGGTGACAGGTATGCTTCTAACATGGATGAAATTTTTTTTTAACTGATAGAAAATGAGGGCAGTAATCAGAGGCAATGTATCGGACTGGAGAAGTGTCACAAGTGGAGTACCAAAGGGTTCAGTTCTTGCACCGGTAATGTTCATTATCTACATAAACGATCTATCAGATGGAATACAGAATTATATGAACATATTTGCTGATGATGCTAAAATAATAGGGAAGATAAGAAACTTTGATGATTGTCATGCACTTCAAGAAGACCTGGACAAAATAAGTATATGGAGCACCACTTGGCAAATGGAATTTAATGTGAATAAATGTCATGTTATGGAATGAGGAATTGGAGAACATAGACCCCACACAACCTACAAATTATGCAAAAAATCATTAAAGAATTCTGATGAAGAAAGAGCTCTAGGGGTGGTTCTAGATAGAAAACTATCACCCGAGGACCACATAAAGAATGTTGTGAGAGGAGCCTATGCTACACTTTATAACTTCAAAATTGCTTTTAGATACACAGATTGCAAAATACTAAAGAAATTATTCACGACTTTTGTTAGACCAAAGCTAAAATATGCAGCTGTTGTATAGTGCCCATATCTTCAGAAGCACATCAACAAACTGGAAAAGGTGCAAAGACATGCCACTAAGTGGCTCCCAGAACTGAAGGACAAGAGCTACGAGTAGAGGTTAGAGGCATTAAATATGCCAAAACTAGAAGATAGAAGGAAAGTAGGTGATATGATCACTACGTACAAAATAGTAACAGGAATTGATAAAAATGATAGGGAGAAATTCCTGAAATCTGGAGCTTCAAGAACAAAGAGGTCATAGATTTAAACTAACAAAACACAACTGCCAAAGAAATATAAGAAAATTCACTTTCGCAAACAGTGGTAGACGGTTGGAACAAGTTAGGTGAGAAGGTAGTGGAGGCCAAGACCGTCAGTAGTTTCAAAACATTATATGACAAAGAGTACTGGGAAGACAAGACACCATGAGCATAACTCTCATCCTGTAACTACACTTAGGTAATTACACATAGCATTTTGGGCAGATACCAAGAGATATCACTCTATACTGTACTTTTCCATTACAATGACTTTACAGTACTACTAAATTATATTAACACACATTTGGTCTATATAGTTACTCCATCTATCATCATTCTATTATGCAGGAAGAACTGCATATCTTTGGGTCATCCAATAAGGTTAGCAGACTTCTAGATGTTACCACTGCTAGGCACAGGTTTGGCTACAAGTACTTCTGGGAGTTTGCAACATCTGCTGATGTAGATTTGACTAAATGTAGACTCTGTCAGCAGAACTATTCACATACTTTGCATCATTATATAATGTAATAAGAAAAAATCATGGAATTCATAGATAACACCATCAATAGAATGCAAGAATTGAGTATGTATTGTACTTCATTCATAATGATGTACCGCTAGGAATCTTAGTGAAGTATCCAAAATTTGCTTACTGTAGGTGCAGCAGGCACATGGCTGTAAAGTTGCCGCCCAGTTGGGTGGGGTGTGGAGCAAGACTAGTAACTGTGTGACTCACCATAGATGTAAAGTGCCTTGTATAGTGACTGTTGTGAGCTTCTTGTTGAATCACTTGTGATATAAAAAGATTATTGATATACCTATGTATTTGTGTAAATGATTGTATATATATGTACATGTGTATGTAACATTTACAATATTACATGCCAATGTCATGCAGTCCTCCACCCAGCCAGGCAGAACTAACCAAATTTATCTCGGAAAACGAACAGGCACAAACCCAGAGTGACAACGAACAAAATAATTACATACAGAATGCAGGAGCTATCTCTCAGCCCAATAGGAATAATCTAAGAAATTTAAAGTGCTTCTACACTAATGCCAGAAGCCTTGTGAATAAATTTGATGCATTGTGTGCAAATGCTGAGGCCCGAGACTCCAGACATCATTGGCGTAAGTGAAACATGGGGACGAGAGGACATTATTGAAGGGGAATTCCACTTCCCAGGCTATCATCCTCCATTCAGAAAGGACAGAACAACAAGAGCAGGTGGTGTACTGCTTTATGGGAAAGAGGATCTGAATGCAACCACAAATGAGAACCATGTGGTTCTCAGACTCTGTATAGAGCAATATACTATCTTGAGGTTATCTTATCTTGAGATGATTTCGGGGCTTTAGTGTCCCCACGGCCCGGTCCTCGACCAGGCCTCCACCCCCTGGAAGCAGCCCGTGACAGCTGACTAACACCCAGCTACCTATTTTACTGCTAGGTAACAGGGGCATAGGGTGAAAGAAACTCTGCCCATTGTTTCTCGCCGGCGCCTGGGATCGAACCCAGGACCACAGGATCACAAGTCCAGCGTGCTGTCCGCTCGGCCGACCGGCTCCCGTACTCAATTAGAGTACTCGTACTCTACTAGCTCAATATGGTAACATAACGACAGTGGGGCTATGCTACAGGGCTGACACAGCAACAGCAGAGGACTGGTGCAGGACTCCTTTCTCATACAACATGTGACAGAGCCCACTCGAGGTAACAGCATTCTGGACCTTGTGCTAACATCAGAAGAGAGCATGATCGATCAAATTCAGGTAGGGGAAAAGCTCACTTCATCATGTAATCACAATATTCTAAGAAGGAATACAATAACAGAAACTCTCGTAAAGGTCCAGGATGATGACCTTCTAGATTACCATCGAGGAGACTATCAGGGAATGAGAAGATTGAAAAACACCTCACGGAGGGAGCTCATAGGAGATCATAGCAAAATATAAAGAGTCATTACTGAACTTGTTTAAACATGTGCCAAAAATGAGAAAGAAAAGAAAAAGAACAAGATGGATGACACAAGTAGTAAAAAGAGCTTTGTTAACTAAACAGAACCTCTGGAGACGGTATAAATCCACAATGAACATCATGGATTATGAGATATATAAAAGGGCATTAAATGCAGCTAGCCAGGAAATCAGATTAGCCAAAAGAAACTACAAAAGAAAACTTGCCCAAAACATAAAGGAAAAGCCAAAATCATTCTATGTTTATATACAAATTAAACACAAACAAAGGACTCTGTAGGACCTTCAAAAGATGAGACTAATAAAGTTATATTGGATGATAAAAGGGCAGCAAACACTGTGAATGAATACTTTACATCAGTGTTCACACTAGAATGATTGAACGACATCCCATCACCCACACAAATGTTTGAAGGAGGGGAAGAGAATGAATTAAGGGATATACCCATTACATGTGACACAATCAGGAAGAGCATTGACAAACTAAAAGACTCAAAAGCCCCAGGTGTGGATGGATTTCAATCCAGTCATAAAGGAACTGGCAGATGCACTATGCATACCACTGAAACTCCTTTTCAGAAAATCCCTGGACCAAGGGATAGTTCCCCTGGATTGGAAATATGCAAATGTCACCCCTATTTAAAAAAAAAGGCAGAAAGAGCTCGGCAGAAAACTACCGTCCGATCAGCTTGACATCACACATCTGCAAGCTCATGGAGAGAATCCTAAGGGAGGGAATCATCCAACATCTCACAGAGAACAATCTTGTAAAATCAATGCAACATGGGTTTGTTAAAAATAGATCCTGCCTTACAAACCTGCTCACATTTCTGGAAACGGTAACCGGCTATTCAGACAAAGGACTTCCAGTAGATGTAGCTTACATGGACTTTGCTAAAGCTTTTGACAAGGTACCACATGAAAGACTGGCAAGGAAATTACAGGCACATGGAATAAATGGGAGAATACTGGAATGGATAAAACAATGGTTAAAACACAGAAAACAAAGGGTTGTGCTAAATGGGAATGAATCTGACTGGGGAAATGTGGAAAGTGGGGTGCCACAGGGGTCCATTTTGGGGCCAACCCTTTTTGTCATATACATCAATGACATAGATGAGAATATTACAAACCACATCATCAAATTTGCAGATGACACCAAGATCTATGGTAAAGTGGGAAGTGAAAGTGATATTGAGACCTTACAATGAGATCTACATCAACTCCACAAATAGTCAAATGACTGGGAAATGCTTTTTAATGCTGATAAATGCAAGACCTTGCATGTGGGGCATAACAATCTACGTAACAACTACCAAACTGACAGCACTACCTTACAACAGATAGATGAAGAAAAGGACCTTGGAGTCAGAATCCATCATTCACTAAAAGTTGCACAACAAGTGGGAGCAGCAGTAAAAAAAAAGCTAACCAAACCCTGGGAATAATCAAGCGTACCTTTACCTTAAAGGAAAAGAAGGTAGTCATTCAACTGTACAAGTCTCTGGTGCACCCCCCCCCACCTGAATTATTGTATCCAGGCATGGAAACCTCATCTTCAGAAAGACACAGCTGCTCTGGAGAATGTGCATCACTGGGCAACAAACATCATCCCAGAGCTTAAGTCACCTCTCGTGTCAGGCACGGCTGAGGGCCACAGTGTTAACAACATTGCAAACCAGGCATGAGAGGGCAGATCTCATTGAAACCTTTAAAATACTTGACAAGTTGGAGGATGTTGATCCAGACAATTTCTTCAAAAGATCAGATGTAACATGAACGAGGAGCAATGGGTTCAAGCTCAACAAGCCACAATGTAGGACTGAAAACAGGAGATGCTTTTTCACCCACAGGGTTGTAAACCCGTGGAACCGCCTACCCGCTGAAGCCAAAACTCTGCTGGGTTTTAAAATACAGCTGGAAAAGATCATCAGGGCAAATGGGGGGACCTTTGACAAGCCGCCGGCTTCCTGTCCTCGTTGAGGCCACTAGTATTAGTGGCCCTCAGGTAAATTCAGGTAAACAATTACCCTCAAGATAACCAAGAAGATGGATGTCAACCAACAAACTTACAATAAACATAGATAAGACCTACTACATTTTATTTGGTAGTAAATCATCAAATCAAATTCAACTTCTGATAGACAAAGTTAACACTACCAATAAAAATAAGGGGAAGTTCCTTGGCCTATACATAGACAAGAGACTGAACTTCAGTACCCACATACAACACACAGCTAAAAACAAAGTCTCAATTCTCAAATTATATAGCAAGAAACATGATGTGAAGTAAGCTGCATTTATCTCATGTGAATCCTTGTTTGTCCTGTTACTAACCCACACTCTGATGGTTACAAATTGCAGAACATGGCTGCAATTCAAAATCCTTCCCCATAAAATCTTCAGGACAAATGGCGGAACATTTGACAAACCACCGGCTTCCTGTCCTTGCCAAGCCCACTAGATATAATGGCCCTCGGGTAAAACACGACATTCAACTTACGTGACTTCGGAGTGGTGATGTTCGGGTCAGCTTTGTGATCTAACAACAGCTTTACAATATCCGCACATTGATTCCAGGCAGCAACGAGCAGTGGAGTGTAGCCTGTTAATAATATTTAAATTTACCATGAAATGAATACTGTTGAGTCACCAGTTTCGTTTAGTTCATTTATTATGCACCCCATACCCATCTTGTGGGCGGTAGTGGAAAGGGTTACAGAGGCACATAATGGGCTCAGGGACTGAACCCCACAATTCATTTAGCTAAGCAAGTTACAGTCACCGGTACTTATAAAAGCTGACTGATGTCAAGCTAATGCAAATTCAACAGTAATTATGTAATCAATGTCATTAAAATGCAGACACAATAGAGGTAACTTTGTGATGTATAAATAATACAAAATGCAACTATGGTAATTATCTGTATTTACCATTAATTTAATTACTGTGAAGCCAGTGGGATACCATCATTATTTTATGACAAGAAAATTAGTACTGTACAGGGGATGTAAACTCAAGAGGTGTATATCCTGCTTCTTTGTGTACACAGTTTACTTTAGTTCAGGACTACAGTATACTTGTTGATTGGTCTGTAAACTGCTGTTGCCTTAATTTTTATTTGGGTTTTGATAACATTTTATAAGTTGATAGGAGCTAATCCCAACTCCAAACCTGGCTTCATTCTCGACTCTTTTAGTTGTGGATCCCGGGTTCGATTCCTGGGTGGAACAAAAATGATTGGGCACATTTCCTATCACCTAATACTGCTGTTCACCGGGCAGTATATAGATACCCAGGAATTAGGCAACTGTTGTGGGAATGCATCCTGGGGAGGGTCAGTTCGACTTGGAAGGAAGGGGGGGGGAGGCCTCAATACCAATACATATACACACAGGCTTCCTGTCCATGACAGAGCGAATTTATATATATATATAATTCACTGTGTCGGGGGACAGGAAGCCAGAGTGTATTCATACACATTTGACTTTTTTATCGAGGCCCCTCCCCCCATTCCCCCCATCCCAAGATTGAATTACTGTTGAATTACTGACCCCTCCCAGGATGCAACCCCACAACAAGCTGACTAACTCCTGAGTGCCTACTCACTGCTAGGTGAACAGGTGCATTAGGGGAAATAAAATGTGCACAACCAATTCTGTCCCACCCAGGATTTGAACCAGGAATTCTCGATTGTGCGTCGAGAACGAACCCGACTGTACTAACAGTTTTTTTTTTTTTAGTTTAGTTCATTTATTATGCACCCCATACCCATCTTGTGGGCAGTAGTGGAAAGGGTTACAGAGGCACATAATGGGCTCAGGGACTGAACCCCACAATTCATTTAGCTAAGCAAGTTACAATCTTGATGAGCTAGTTACAAAATTTAATAACAGGACCCTTAAATATATATTAATTTACTACATAAAATTTTATACAAAGCATAATTTAATTATCAGCTGTATTAGAAATTAATGTGTATATATTTAGATTTTTTTTTAACTGCGCCCTTGGTGACCTCTGATATTGAATATACCATTCAACACTCACTACCTAATTCAGGCACACCCTGCACTACAAGGGACTGATCACTCTCAATTAACCTTGACATACTGCTGCAACCTCCATTCACTGTAGCACCCAAATTGGTTCACCTTTAACTCACCATACTTAGTCATGGTGTTGGGGTCGGCAGTGTTGTTGAGCAGGATCTCAACACTCTCTCTGTTGCTGTTCTCTGCAGCCAGGTAAAGTGCACTCATACCTGTCAAGTTCAAGTTCAAGTTCAAGTTCAAGTTCAAGTATGTTTATTGAGATAAGCAATAAATACATCTCAAAGGGATAGAGTAGCTTAGGCTATTTCTACCCCCCTCTACTTCAAGTCCCTCAAGGGGCGCACAAATGCAGTGAGTACAAATAGACAAATAACATTACAAGAACCCCATTTAACATACCTGTCAAAGACGGATTTAAGTTAATTTTTACCATCGTTTTTATTACGTTAGATCACACACATACACACACACATTCTTTCACCCTGATGCCATTGTTCACCTAGCAGTATATAGGTACCCGAGAGTTAGACAGCTGCTATGGGCTGCTTCCTGGGGATGTGTGTGTGTGTGTGTGTGTGTGCGTTGTATTCTAGTTGCACTCGCCTAGTTGTGCTTGCAGGGGTTGAGCTCTGCTCTTTCGGCCGGCCTCTCAACTGTCAATCAACTGTTATTTACTACTATTTTTTTCATTTTTTATTCCCACACACACACATACACTCAGGAAGCAGCCCATAACCTTTGTCTAACTCCCAAGTACCTATTTACTGCTAAGTAACAGGGACATCAGGGTGAAAGAAACTGCCCATTTTTGTTTCTCGCCGGCGCTGGGAATCAAACCCGGGCCACAGGATTACGTGTCCAGCATGCTATCCACACAGCCACTGACTCCCTGTCAGGGAGGGAGGGAGGGGATGGGTGGGTGGGTGGGTGTGTGTGTGTGTATGTATTAGAGAGAAATATATGTACTGTAGTAGATATAATAGAGAAAAAAATAGATTGGTTAGAAAGGCAGGGTCCAAGAGCTAATAGCTCGATTCTGCAGACACAAATAGTAAATACCCACAAGAAATTAAAGACTTGATGCTAGCTGAATCTTAAACCCATCCTCAGGTGGTGCTCATCCAAGTGGCGACTGACCCTAAACACACACACACTGCATTAACATACTGTATAATAAAACAATGTATTTATTCAGTAATATTATATATATATATATATATATATATATATATATATATATATATATATATATATATATATATATATATATATATATATATATATATATATATATATATATTATTTATATAAAAAATCAGATGACAAATGCTTTTTAATATTGACAAATACAAGACTATGCATGTGGGGCATAACAACCCACGCCACAAATACCAAATTAATAGCATTACATTACAGCAGATTGATGAAGAAAAGGACCTTGGAGTCAAAATCCACCACTCATTAAAAGTTACACAATAGGTGGGTGCAGCAATCAAAAAAGTTAACCAAACTCTTGAATAATCAAGCATACTTTTGACTATAAGGAGAAGAAGATAATGGTTAAACTGTATAAATCTCTGGTGCACCCTCATTTGGATTACTGTATCCAAGCATGAGAGACCTCATTTCCAGATGGACATAGCTGCTCTGGAGAAAGTGCAACACCAGGCAACAAAAGTCATTCCAGTGCTAAGTCGTTTCCCGTATCAGGAACGCTTGAAGGCCACAGGGCTATCAACACTTCAAACCAGGCATGACAGAGCAGATCTCAGTGAAACTTTTAAAATACTGAACAAGTTAAGAGAATGTTGATCCGGATATTTTCTTCACAAGGTCAGATGTAACACAAACAAGGAGTAATGGTTTCAAGTTCAACAAGCCACAATGTAGGACTGAGAACAGGAGATGCTTTTTCACTCACAGGGTTATTAACCCATGGAACCGCCTACCCACCGCAAGTCACTCAGGTAAATACAGTATATATATATTTGAATTCTGTCAATAGGTAGGCCTAGAACAGGTTAGGTGGTTTGATTCTGATGACAATTATATGTATTTGCCACAAATGGGTGCAGCCATTAGCAGTGTGAATCAAGCAGAAGATAAGTGAAGCACTGTTCAAGAAAGGTTCGAATGTGAGCATTTGTGAGTTTTGCATAAATTGTTTTTAGTTCATAAACAGAGGCTAGTGCTGGATTAATGAGCACTATGCCAATGTTTATACCAATGTTTTGAGGATGAACAGAATCTAATAGCTATAGATGCATGAAATTTGCCAGGCAATATAGAGAGTGGACAGAAAATGCAATATTCACCTGTTTCACTCGTGTGGTTGACAGAGGAGCCGGCCTCGACCAGAAGACTTACGGCCTTGGTGCTGTTTGTCTCCGCTGCCCACAACAACGCATTATATCCCTTCTTCTTGCCCGCTGAATATAAATTAAATTAATATTAATATAAATCAGATAATTAATGAAAAGTAAGTTCAAGGGAGAGTTGGCAAGAAGGTCCCAGGATTCGATTCCAGAGAATGCTAGGAAACTTTGGTCAAGTTCCTTTATTTGTTTTGGTCACTTTTAAAAATAATAAGAATGGATATAAATATTAATTATAATCTCAATATTGGCAATTATTTGTATTTGCAGTATGTGGGTGAAGCATTTATGCTTCTGCAATTTGAACGTAGAAAGAAAATTAAATACTGCTCGAGAAAAGTTCGAACATCAGTTGTGAGTCATGTGTGAAGGGTTTTTTATCCATAAACACAGAATTTGGTGGCTGGATATAAGAACATTTAGCCAATGTTTATTAGGACGGTTTGAATATACCAATGAATCCAATAGCACTTTACCAGTGTTCGTGACTGAGCCCATGAATCCAGCAGTATACTGTATATACACAGGATGCAGGGACCTACAGCCCGTCCTCTTCAACAAAAGCCAAATGTTCGTTAATCCAACCACCAAACCCCCTATTTATGTATGAAAAACGGTTTTCACATGACTCAACTGATAATATTCAAACATTTTTCAAACAGTGCTTTGCTGACTACCCCTGTTTGAATCACACTGAAGTATATGGTGAAGCATTTACAGCGAATAGAAATAATTGCAAATACAACCTAATCACCTAACCTATGCCTAACTATACATAGAATTTTAATATACAGTATAATAATACTCTATTACTATATAAATGAGAAACATTTTTAATGCACAATATGTTCAAATTTATGAATGCGTCTTTGGAAACGACCTCAGCTTTAATGAGCCCGGCCTGAGAACGGATTGATACCTGTGCTCTCAACGTAGGTAAGTAGGTAGGTTCGGTCTGGTTGTCCTAGGAGCTTCTCAATCTTGCGAGTGTTCCTTCTCGAGGCAACGAACAACAGCATGTTGGCTAATTGGGGAATAAAGTATAAATGTGTTAGACATATTCTTAATGAATGGAAGTTTTTTAGAAAACCTGTATATAATATATAACTGTTGGATGTGTATTCTAATTCTGTAGAAAGATCAGATTTAAATAAATTTCTAAACGTGTACACAGTAAAATGTTGGAACAGTTAGGTTCATATAAATTGAGCTAGTTTTGGACTTAAGCCCCGTCAACCTCTTAATGGTTATTAAGACCATCACAAGAGTATACTGACCAACCAGCCAGTATATTTACCGCATTCATAGTCCAGAACTAATGTAAACTGTATCCCAAAAAAGCAGGGGTGCACATGATGTATATCTCTCAATTAAAAACCCCTACTCTTTTATAATAACGCACACTAATGACTTTTAGAGTTACACATCTACATTAATTTGTACGGGTGACAATTATATCACTTCTAGAGAAAGCTGTAAACTGCTAGCACAACAGCACTGCTCTTGTAACTACTTGAAGCAATAAGAGTAAAGCTTCACTTCATCAGCTTGAACTGATGCCATGAGGGTATCACCTCACCATTGCATAAATTTCTCTTCCTTGGCGGGAGTATCGACAGATCTTCACAATCATCTTTGTTCTTATCTTCCTTCGGTGGTTCTCCCTTCTTGGCTGCCTCCACCCTCAGGCTGCACACCATCAGTGTCACCACCACCCACAGACGCATCCTTCTCGGCTTCTGCAAGACAAGAGAAGTAGTGTTTTAACCCCTGCACTGCGCACCTGGTTTCGGCAAAAACTTCTTTGGGCAATTGTCAAGGACATATTCTTGTTGTTTTCATAAATATTCAGGTAAATTTAATGTTAAAATGTTTCCAAACAACTATTTTCATTTAAAAACACAGAGTAATGAAAACATTAAAAAACACTAAAATGTAGCCTAATTAAAAAAAAATAGCACAACTCTCAGAGCGCCTAAGGGGGCTTCGCTTTGCGCCTAAAGGCCTAAAGGCGCTTTGCACAGTGCAGGGGTTAAGAGACAATTCGTGCCTTCACTGTAACCTTATCTCTGTAGAAGAAGGGTTGCCTGGAAGTCATAGGATGGCTACCTATCTTATTCTCCCCAAAACGCTTTGCGTAATAGTGGCTTTAGGCATTGTATGTACTAGCTCTATCTATAAATCTATCAATTTTTGTAAAACCTCTTGTATGTATGTACTTTACCTGAATAAACATTTATTTATTTATTTATTTATTTATTTATTTATGTGTAACTTGAAGTGGCTGTGTCCCCATAGTCTGGTCAAGGCCAAGACTGTCAAGCACTTAGACATCACTTATTATTGTCACTTATATTATGTCTCACTTATTCAGCGAGACATACGAAACCTGTACATCTTTCTTTAATCATGGTAGTTTTGTTACATTTATTAAACAATTTAAAAGCCTCAAAACTTCAAAACCCAAGGTTATTATTGTTGTAAATAACCTCATATTGCTTTGAAGCTCAAACTATTTATTAAATGTAAATAAAACTGCCATGATTGAGGAAAGATGTACAGGTTTCGTATGTGGTTGCCTAAATGCTTGATGACTTTGACAGGACTGGTCCTCACTATACCATTCATTGAAACTGGAACATCTAGTAAAGTAAATTTTATTCATGAAAGTACATACATAATTGTTTTACAAACATAAAGTTGGATTTATAGATAGAGGTAGTACATACAATACCTAAAGCCACTAGAACGCATAGCGTTTCGGGCAAAGTGGGGGAAAAAACACTTGGACTAAAACTAAAACCAACCATCTATACCAGGTTTACGGGCTCACCATAGCCCGTGCTACATGGACACTTCGTCCTGAGTAGCTAAATCTGAAACAACAACATCTATACCAACTTTAGTCTGCTAAAGCCATTAAAACAGTCCTCAACACACTGGTAGAAAGAAGTATAGGCCTACTGATTTCCCACAATTTTTTCCCCCCTTTTCCCTTTTTCAACTCAATTTATGCTTTGATCTCAATTAGTATTAAGTTTTAGTCTAAGTGTTTTTTACCACACTTTGCCCAAAATGCTGTGTGTGTGTGTGTGTATTAGTAGCTTTAGGCATTGTATGTACTATAGCTCTCTCAAGAAATCCAACATTGTGTTTGTAACTCATCTTGTATTTATTTATTTATTTATGCATATACAAGAATGTACATAAGGAATTTGAGGATACAAATATGGTAATTACAGTCTTGTAAAGCCACTAGCACGCGCAGCGTTTCGGGCAGGTCCTTAATCTAAGAAAATTTTAGGGAGGTAAATACTTGCAAAATTTATAGACAAAAAAATGATAACAGTTACATGAAATGAAAAAAAAGAAGATGAGAGAAAATTGTAGGTACAGTATATTAAAGCACATAGGTAGCTAAGATTGATTGCAATGACAGCTTAAAATGGTAGTTGACAAAAATTGGTAGGCACAATACAGCAGAAACAATATAAGATTGATTGCAATGACAGCTTGAATGGTAGTTGACAAAAATTGGTAGTCACAATACAGCATATGGCTAGCACATAAAAGAAGACAGCAATGAACACAATGATAAGGTAGTTTGATATTACATAAAAATTAGGAGATTGGGTAACACTAGGTACAGAGCAAATTTAAAGCTCAGTGTAGGAAACTAAGAAGATGAAGTTAGGTACTTTTTGGTTTTGCTTTTAAATAAGGCAAAAGTTTTACAGTTTTTCAATTCACTAGGGAGTGAGTTCCATAGACTAGGTCCCTTAATTTGCATAGAGTGTTTACACAGATTAAGTTTGACCCTGGGGATATCAAAGAGATATTTATTTTTGGTGTGGTGATAATGGGTCCTATTACATCTGTCCAGGGAGAGTTTCAGAGCATGGTTTGCATTTAAGAACAGGGTTTTGTAAATGTAGTTGACACAAGAGAATGTGTGGAGGGAGTTAATATTTAGCAAGTTTAGGGATTTAAACAAGGGAGCTGAGTGTTGTCTGAAAGCAGAGTTAGTTATTATTCTGATAGCAGATTTTTGCTGTGTGATGATGGGCTTAAGGTGGTTTGCAGTGGTAAACCCCCATGCACAGATACCATAATTAAGATAGGGGTAGATTAGTGCATAATATAGTGAGAGGAGAGCAGAGTTAGGAACATAATATCTGATTTTGGAGAGTATACCAACTGTCTTAGAGATTTTGTTAGTTATGTGTTGAATGTGGGTACTGAAGTTGAGTCTCTTGTCTAGGAATAGGCCAAGAAACTTGCCATCATTTTTATTACTGATGTTAATGTTGTCTATCTGTAGCTGAATTGCATTTGATGATTTGCTTCCAAATAAGATGTAGTAAGTCTTTTCGATGTTTAATGTTAGTTTGTTCGTTGACATCCATAAGTGGACTTTTTTTAATTCATTATTCACAACATTATTTAATGTATGTGGGTTGAGGTTTGAGGGTAGTATCGTCAGCAAACAATATAGGTTTGAGAATATTAGAGACATTAGGCAGATCGTTTATATATATAAGAAATAGAAGAGGTCCAAAGATGCTGCCCTGTGGCACTCCAACGGTAATTGGTAGAGTGGAAGAAGTTGTATCATTGATGGTTACATATTGGTGTCTGTCACTGTCATATTGGTGTATGTATGTGTACCTGAATAAACATTTGATTTGAAGTAAGTAATTATCAAAAGAAGGTGCCAAGCCGGGGAAGGGAACTATCAGGGGGGAAGTGCCAAGCCATTACGACTATATAGCACTTGGAAGGGGTCAGGATAAGGATTTCGGATGGGACTGAGGGAAAGGAATGGTGCCCCAACCACTTGTAGACGGTCGGGGATTGAACACCGACCTGCATGAAGCGAGACCATCGCTCTACCGTCCACTCCAAGTGGTTGAGGAAAGGAAAAGCCGAGGAGACTAACACTCTGGTAGAAGTAACCAAACGGTTACTTTTGGATGTAACTTCAGGATAAGGCGCCGGAACGCGAAGACATTATAAGGAGCTGCTCGTTCAATGCTTCACTTGTATTTCGAGAGACTCGCTTTGTCTTGGAATGAATAAATCTTAATAGTTTAACACCCTTGTTGCTAACAGCGGAATGTGGATTTCCATACCATAAAAATTTATTCACTAAATTACATAACTAAACGGAAAATTCAAAGTTCATTAACAAAACTAAGAATTTGAACCCGTTTTGGTAAGCCAGAACCTTATTACGTCAGCGTCTTCAAGATCAATCTAATAAACTTAGAATTAACAAATATGGTATACTAATTTTAACAAAATAAAACTTTTTTAACTGGAATTGTGAGCAAGAGCATATGTTCCCCCCAAAATGGGAGATAACAGGTGTGTTTGACAGAAGGGAGAGGCAGTATAGGTGGCAGGCCTGGTACGATAATCTACTTTAATTCACCTTCCTTTAATTTGTGCGAGAGAGAGAAAGAGAGAGAGAAAGATAGAGAGAGAGAAAGATGGAGAGAGAGAAAGATAGAGAGAGAGAAAGATGGAGAGAGAGAAAGATAGAGAGAGAGAAAGATAGAGAGAGAGAGAAAGATAGAAAGAGAGAAAGATAGAAAGAGAGAAAGATAGAGAGAGAAAGATAGAGAGAGAGAAAGATAGAGAGAGAGAAAGATAGAGAGAGAGAAAGATAGAGAGAGAGAAAGATAGAGAGAGAGAAAGATAGAGAGAGAGAAAGATAGAGAGAAAGATAGAGAGATAGAGAGAGAGAAAGATAGAGAGAGAAAGATAGAGAGAAAGAGAGAGGGATTTTTTAGGCTAAACAGGATATCCTGTACATCGTGCGACGCAAATCCCCTATTGCTGTTTTGCATGGGTTTTTTCTCCCCCACAGTGTGGTGAAATGCTTCCTGGCCAACACAAACGCTGCCTGGCGACCATATTGCTGCACCAGGCAGACCACAGGTGCCTTCCTAATACTATACTATGAAACTGTTTATTTTGGAAACGTTCGTATTTGTTTAAACGCTGGTTATCTTGAGATGATTTCGGGGCTTTTTAGTGTCCCCGCGGCCCGGTCCTCGACCAGGCCTCCACCCACCAGGAAGCAGCCCGTGACAGCTGACTAACACCCAGGTACCTATTTTACTGCTAGGTAACAGGGGCATAGGGTGAAAGAAACTCTTAATTAAGGTTGATTCCTACTGACATTATGTAGTGCAAGGGGGGGGAATGGACAGAGGGAGAAAGAGGTTGATTGAGACCTGCAGGGTAGAATGGGAAGGGAAGGAAACTATCAGGAGAGAACGCCAAAGCCATTACGACTATATAGCACTGGGAAAGGGGGTCAGGATAAGGATTTGGGATGGGACGGGGGTAAAGAATGGTGCCCGACCCCTTGTGGACGGTCGGGGATTGAACGCCGACCTGCATGAAACGAGACCGTTGCTCTACCGTCCAGCTCAAGTGGTTGGGTAAAGGGGGGAAAGGGTTGGTCGGAATTTGATAGATATCAACACCTTTGCATTCAAATACGCACATAATAATTTTAAATTTAGATCAGTATGGGGCTCTTGTTGCGCTAACTAACAACATCTAGACCATTTTAACGTCTCGTCCAACTGATTGATTGATTGATGAAGATAAAGCCACCCATGAGGTGGCACGGGCATGAATACCCCGTAATCGTCCACATGTTGCAAACGTCGAATATCAAGTGGTTTTGTCTACCCAGAAGCGTATGACCCCTAGACAACTCAGA